AAATAAAAAGAGAGAGTATTTTGCCAGGGCACTGGATTCCTATAAACATACATACAAGGTCCTGTGGCCTCCTCTGAGGGAAGTAAATAACAGGAGGTACGGAGGGTGGAAGTTCGCAGAAACTACACCATCTGTACTGCGTCTGTCTTACGTTTAAATGTGACTGCAAGCAATACGCATGCATCTCTATCATTCATTACCTTTGTGCATAGGCAACATGATGGGATGAAACATCAAGCTTGGATTCTCGTCTCAGCTCTGTTATTTGCTTATTTGAAGGTGAGCCTGGGCTACTCTTCTGTTCAGTGTCTCCGTCAATAAAATGGGGTCTGTGGGCTCTGCCCACCCCATAGGCCACAGATAACATAAGCACAAGTATTTAAATTCACTAAGACATGATCAAAGATCAGGGTCTGTCATCTCCAATCCTGACTTTTCTCCTGAGGTCTGACTTCCCATATTCAAGTGCCTCTGCTTTTTCTGCTGTGAACCTATTCTTCACACAGCTACCAGGTTGATCTTCATGAAATTTTGCTCTCATTGTGGCATTACAAAGTTCCTTACCCCCCACCCCCACCCTTCCCCATGGGATAAAGTTCAAGCATGGTTTGGAAATTTAAAAATGCTTTCAAATCTCATACTTATTCTCTTAGATTTTTTGCTTACTACATTAGCCTTGCCCCATTCGTTCACAACACGCATATACACATCCCAATCAAATTAAAGCCATTTTCCATTTTCACTCTTCCCATGCATTTTGTCCACCTGGAATGCAGTACTCTGTTCTCCAGTTCGTCCCATCTCTGCAGACCAATATCCAGCCTCATCTATGCAGTGAGACCTTCCATCACTTCCTTTTCCCGTAGCTCTTCTCACGGAGGACTTACACACACCACCACCACCACCACCACCTTAGAAGGCCAAGGCCATTTCCTGATATAACGTATAGCATTATTCAGTGTTTTTATTAGCAACATAGAAACAATAATGCATGCCTTTTAGAATAGTTGTAAGAAAGAAATGAGATTATGTATAAAGGATATGACACATTTTAGGCGGTTAGTTGCTGATTGCCTTTGCCATTATCCCCTTATTCAATTACTTCAGAAAGAAAGTAGCCTTCAGAATCTTCTTCATGAGATTTCCTCCCGTATGTAGTAGCCAAGAGAAAATTAATGATTTGCACTCTTTGGGGCATACCCAGTATAAATGATTGCAGTATGTCCACCAAAAGACATGTACGAGAACATTCATAGCAGGTTTATTCATAATAGACAAAAGCAGAAACAACCCAAATATGCCCCAGTAGAACAGATAAACATCATGTAATCATGCAGTGAAATACTACACAGCAATAAAACAAAATAAAATAAAATTACATTAAATTAAATTAAAATAGACATGCAACTACATGGATGTATCTCACAGCCATAATGATAAATGCAAGAAACCAGACACAGAAGAGTATATAGTCTAAGATTCTATATTCATGGAATTCAAGAACAGGTAGCATTAATCTTTGATGATAGAAATCAGAATAGTATCTCTGGGGGAGGGGGG